CTCATTGAATCCTTCTAATAGCCTGTGAGACAAATTCTATTTTCAGCCCCATGTTACAGAATGGCAAAACTGAGGAAACTGAGGAAGGGGAAGATTAAATTACTTGCCTAAAGGATACTACAGTAAATAAAAGAGCTGAGTCCGAACCCGGGCAGTCTACCTAAGGTCTGCATTTTTAATCAGTAGGCTACTCTCTATCTCTAGTTCTAGCCTGTTTAATTTTAAACTACAGTCCTGTTTTCCTCATTTGACCACAGCTTATGTAAATTTTCTCTATATTTTTACATAAGTAATATGCTTGAAATATAAAATAAACTGAAAAAATGTATGTATGTATACATATAACTGAATTGATTTGCTCTACACCCGAAACTAACATTGTAAATTGACTACACTTCAATAAAAAATAAGAATAATAAAAAAAGAAAAAAGTTTATGCTTATTAAAAATATGAACCATTCTATCTATTTTTCACATTTTGCTTAATGGATACTTGTCCCTACCTGAAAACAGGATTCTTCATAAGGAATATTTGTCATCATTAATGCTACTTGTTCACACTGAAAATTTAGTATGTAAATGACTATATCAGCATTCTCATTCTGTGATCTCTAAGTCCAAGAGTACATTTACTTAAATAGGGTCTTTTTCATGACCCTATTTTAATCTTGGAGTGGAACTTCCAGAACAAACTTTGACCAGGCATGAAACAAGGAGAATAAAAAAACAGACAGTACTTAAAGATGAGAAAAGATTTCCTGTTCTATTACATACTAGTTCACATAGTTTCTTTATATGCTCCTCATTCCCACTGATGAGAAGAATGACTTAAGGATTCAAGTTATGTGCTGTCAAGATATAGATAAAGGGGGCACATTACTAAGGACATAAAAAACGCCTGGATGTTATATGCAACTCCCAGAGATTACATTAGCTATTGTATTAATGTAATTTCTATTCCTGGTCATTTGTAAAGATCTGATATCTGAAATTTCCACCACTTTAGGAATGTCTTATATTGGTGGCTGGCTGTAAACCTGACATTATTATTATTATTTTTAACTTAAAAATTTTCTTTGCTCCTCACAGAGTAGACTGCATTGTTACAATTAATTATTCAGGACTATGATTTAGCAGTTTAGTTTGTGAGCGTCTGGCTGTAAGAGAAAAATTGGGACATATTTTGCAATTCTGAGTATATTTTCCACATACAACAAAATAAACATGGTATGTTTGTCAAACATGGAGGCAAAAAATAAATGTGTGTCTTTAACACATGATGGCAAGGAAGGGTGTGGAAGAAGTGGGGCCTGAGATAGAAAGGGGACGGATGAGCATTTTCTAGGTGGGCTCAGAAGACAGTACGTGTGAGGCCAAGGGCAGCACAGGGTCGGGTGATGGGGGAGCATCTCCAGGAGCCCAAGCACCCAGGGGCTCTGGCCCATACCACACCTCAGTTTCGAGTTCTCTACATTCATTCTGCCAGAAAGAAGACTGCACTAATTTTTCATTATGAATCAGAAATATAAACTTTTCAGGCTTGTAAGAAACCTCTGAGAGAATTGTTCTTGTCCACTCCTTTCTTTTTATTTTTTACTTTTTCTAGGGGCGGGGCAGGCAATTAGGTTTATTTATTTATTTACTTTCTCAATGGAGGTCCTAGGGATTGAACCCACAACCTCATGCTTGCTGAGCACCTGCTCTACCACGGAGCTATATCCTGCCCTCCACTCCGCCCCCACCCTTCTCTTTTTAAAGAGAAAGAAACCCATTCCTAGAGAAGCATCTCTGTTTGAAATGCCAAGGGCCCTGGATCTGGATCAGATGAGCCACTTGGAGTCTTGTTTCCGCATCTTTCTCCCTGTGTGATCTTGGGAACTGCTCAGCCTCTCTGGCTGCAGCTTTCCCAGCGGTAACAGATGATCATCGTTCCAAGGGGTGCTAGGAAGAGTAAATGGGGCAATGAATCTGGACTCACTTAGGAAATTATGTGGAGCAATACAACCTTTGCCATTAAGTGACTCACTGTAGGTAGGCACACAGTTGAGGAGGATCTGAGCGTTAGCCAGAATGCAAGGAATTCTAGTCATTTTGTCCAACTCAAACAGGTATATTTAGGTGCATATAAATCATATGCGTCTCTTTTCCTCACAAAGTAAAACATAAACCATTTGAATTTCTTGCCTGTTCTTGGACTCCCCTTGAAGAAGATGTGAAGAGAAATTGTGCCTCCACCAATAGATCATTTCTCTTCTCTGAAACTGCCCTTGCCACTGATGAGCACAAAAACCTGTTTCCTTCTCGGCAGCAAGCGGGGGCTGTCACTTCAGGGCAGACACACTCTTTTTTTCCTTCAGAAAGAAATTCCTCTAAAGCTCTGAATGCTGAATTCAAAACATCAGTGATGTCAGGCCAGGTTTGCCTTTTAAAGAAAGGTCACTGCTGTGAGGAATAGACCCGTGTCTGGGGCCTCAAACTGGGGGGGGGGGGGGATAAAATTGACAGACACGCAGTTCTGCCAGAAGGATTCTGCTAGATAATAAACACACTTCTCCAGGGTGTGCTAATCAAACAGGAACACAATACAAACACACTGTTTCCCAATTCTCTCCCTTTCTCCCTCCTGGTTATTATCTCCTTGAGCATATTTAGAGAGAAATAAGGTTTTGTAGCTTTTACAGCCTTAAAAATATGGCATCAACCAATCTTCCCAGGCATGTATTCGTCACTGCAGTTCTTTCCTTCATCTTCAAACACATTTCTGTGTACACACACACACTCACTCTGAGGGAAAGGAGTTGCTAGTTGTTTAGCTGCATCCCTTGTCTGGAATTCTATCCTTGGGTCATTCTCCTGCAGAAGTCTGTTGAATTCCCATCTATCCTTTGACTCTCAGCTCTTCCATGAAGCCTTCTAAGACTTCTCTAGGTACAATTAACTTATTCTGCCTTCTTATCATGAGGACTCCTCTATCCTAGTAGTAATGACAGTCTGCCTTGACTTAGCAGGTTACTTTTATTTCTTTTTCCCTCCTGTGTTTGAACTCCTCCTTGACAAGGATAAGTCACAGTCATCTATGCCTTTCCCAGAAAAACTAAGACTTTAATAAAGGTATTTATGGGAATATTTAGCCGTCAAAACTCTGGTTCAAAATCATCCTTTTTATCTCAGGGAACTTACAGATGGTTTTCCTAAAGACCCCACTTGAGGTTTCCTAAATCTCCTTTACTGGAAATTTTGGTCAAAGAGGACAAGACCACAAACAAGTCTCTAAACTTAGAAATATAAGAGGCAGTGGGAAGGGCAAGAAGAGGTGGATGTTCACGGCTATATTTTCATGTGACAGGTGTCCCTGAGATGAGAGGAGGCAGCAAGCACTACTCGGAACAGCACTACTGGTCGAGGAACACCACAGAAGGGACAGGGTAATGGAGCAGTAAAAGCTAACTTAATGGGAGGGCAACATGAACATATACAAAAGGAGACCACTTTTGGATTGAGATGAAAGGGGGAAACAAACAAGGTTTATCATCAGCAGGAAAGAATGCTTACCAAATGAATCAACCGGGTACCATTTATATCTCTATTGTTAACTCCAGTCCTTTAGAGGAATTTAGGTTCTTATCTTTATAAGAATCATTAGCTACCTTAATTTGATGGAAAATTCTTGATTTCACAGTAGTTGGAAAATGCTTGATCTTACAAGCAGCACAAAGAGAAAGCCTGTGACAAACAAGGTTACAGGGTGTCTCACTTGAGCTGGCCAACATCTATTTCACAGTGGATATGCAAACAAGGACTGTGAACCCTGAGTCTGAAACGCCTTCCTCCTCCCATTGGTGAAAGTGATGGGGGTGTTGCGAGAGGCAAGAAAGGAGAGTAAAGGGCAAGACAGCTCCATGAGCTAGTTCTCATAAACGAAAATGGTGCTAACGTTAACTGAAGTGCCATAAGCTGTATGAGGCAATGGGAAGTCATTAGTTCGTATAACAGATACGACCACCCTCTAGGGTAGGTACTATTGTCTTCATCCTCCAGATGGACAGTGGAGTTAAACAAGTCGTAAGGTACCCAATTAATAAGCAGTAGTGCCAGGCTTGATTTCATAAAGAAGAAAAATCTTCCAGAGATGGATATGCATTTCAAAAACATGAGAGTCAGATTAGATGGGCAAATTAGAAAACAAAAAAACCAAAAACTAAAAAACTCAAGCCCCCAGAAGAGTTAGATGCCACTGATGGAAAGAATTTCAGAACACAAGAGAAAAAGTTAAGAAAAGGAATCAAATTGGCTAAAACTAGAACCAGTACCAACCTAACAGAATGCTACAAAACAAGGACATTAAGCCAGATCATTTAAGGAGAAGTGAAGGAAATAAAATTTACTGTAGGAAGAAAGCCCAAAATAGGACACAATTGATAAGGGTATTATTTGGAATAGGAAAAGCATCATTTAATTCTATTGGCAGTGGGGAACTGGGCAGGTACTGATTCATGGCATGGAGGGACATCCAATGCAACAGGATACTTCTAAGATTAAGGGGTTAGAGTTAGTTATTGGGTTTTATGTTTATAACACAATCTCTGCAAAGGGTCAGACTGTATTCATTTCACAGACTGCGCCACCCACGTGTGCTGGCAGGCTGGGAAAGCTGGAAGAGGGAAGGAAATGACTCAACGTTATTTAATAGAACTGGCTTAACTGAAATTGTCTGGTGCTAAAGATATTCATTCCAAAATAGGAGGGCTTAGTGAATTTTACCAATGTCGTTTACAAACTATAGCCCCACCTCCTCGCCCCCCAACAACTCTTCAGAAGATGTGGATGATGGGAAATGGACAAATCATCTAGAAAAGTTCAAGATCAGGGATCAGTCAGACCCATTTAAATACTAGAAAGGAATCAGTGTCAAATATCAGCCAACTAGTAAACACTGTAAACATCCAGGGGTTTAGAGATACAGCTGAAGAGCTTCCAGAATCAAGCTACACAAAACTCCTTTTTTGGGGGCGGGGAGTGAGGTAATCAGGCTTATTTATCTTTTTTACTTTTAATGGAGGTACTGGGGATTGAACCAGGACCTCATGCATGCTAAGCACATACTCTACCACTGAGCTATACCCTCCCCCTCAAAACTCTGTTTCTCGAGATGGGGCAGTAGGCATTTTATATTCCCCTTTATTATAAGAATTGAGAAGTATTAAGCTTCTCATTGTTTGTTTTTCAAGATAATATTTGTTGATCTGCAGCTTGAATTATCTTGCACAAGTATGCATTGGGTATTTAAAAATCAACAGGAAGACGTGAAATACCAGCACGTTAAAAAAAAATACTGATGTTACACCATTCTTAAGCCACTAGGACCCTATCTTCAGGATATGGGTTGGGGGTGTGGGTGTTTAGGAAGAGTACTATGTTTGGAGTTTAATGTGGGGTTTCTTTCAGCATTTGAAAATCAAATCCCCAAAACTGACATCTGGAGAGAATACAATACATCAAGATCAAGAGATTTCTCAAATACAGGCTTTCACTGGGTCACAAGTACTAGTGTGTTCAAGCATCTCTGTACAATAAATTATTTCTGAGGTCCAGGCAACAGTCCACTTATCCACCGTGGCATGTGATTCAACTAAGAAGTACAGACAGGGCATAGGAATAAGATTTAACTGCTGGCCCAGAAAGAACGTGTCTAATTAGCACAGTTTGCCAGGTGGCTATCTTGGCTCTAGCTCCAATAAAGATGACACAATAAAGGGAATCCCCCTGTCCCCCACCAAAAAAAAAAAAAAAAAAACTGGTACCAATTCACAGCAGTGTGACTCTGCAGTAATCACTCAGCTCTTAGTTCTGTCCACGGTGTCACGTTTGCAGGGAAATGTCACAACCCAGTCTAAGGAGTATGGGATCTGTAAGTGGGCTGCAAGAGTTTGAATTTGTGCACAACTGGCAACGTAACTGGTCTACACCTTGGTCCTCACTGGAAAAAATGGAACAGTATGTTCTACCTCATAGGCTATTTGAGGATTAAAAGAGAGAATTCACGTAGAAGGGCTTGGCACAAGGTAAGTACTCAATAAATGTTAGCTCTCATTAGCAGATTCTTTGGCAACAGACTCAAGGGCTGAAAATGGAAGAAACCAAAGACGCAATACCTTCGGAAGACAAAGAATAATGGTACTAATTGGGTCCCAGGAGTCTACTCTGGCAATAAAGAGGATGGATGCTGAAATAATCTAGTCTACCGGTTAAAGAGAAACACTGCCTGAAACAGATTTCTGCAGGGACCCAACCCAAAGAAAATTAAGAAGTGGTTCCCATGAAGACAAAGAACAACCTAATGAGCGATCAGCTAACGTTGGCCTCTGGCTTACCACCAGCTAGACCTGCAGTTGTCAACCGGCCCTGATAATGTGCCCTTTCCCCCCAACCATCCTCCCATCCCATGAGAGACAGCTTGGATGCGATGATTAGGGAGCAGCCTGCGCCTACAAAAGGAAGCAAAGAGCAAAGCTAACTGGCCAAATGGGAACAGAAACCATGACCTTGGTGTCATTAAAAAGAGCACTGTCCTTGAATAGACCAGTTTTTCATGGCCAGGCAAGCCATCTGCAGAGAAAACAAAACATGGCACACACACAAACGCACACACAAATAAAACAACAGAAAGCAAACAACAGAAAGATGTACAACTAAAACAGACATTAATTCACAGATATTTTTACAAATGAGCGTCTTTATTTTTTCTAGTGCCAGCATCAATAGCCTTCTAGGAAGTCAATTCCGTTGGCAGGACTGAAATACTTCTAAAGTGGAGAACTATATGCTATACTCCATGTTTGAAGAGACCTAATAGCTAAGTGGTCAACTTGCATTGACAGGACAGCAACCTGCCTCAGAGATTAACAATGTGCTACCTTCTAAAATTTGAAAACTGAAAAAGAAGTACCTCTGTAGAATCAAGCTCAGATGTGGACCTACCAGTATCAGGCAGCACAGATCTGAGGCCCCAGTGACCTCACTTGCTTTTACAATATGGTGTGAAACAAACCTTCTTAGTAAAGCTACAGTACCCAACTAGGAGGTGCGTCAGCTACAAGAGGACCTAATAATGATGCAAATACTTACGATGTACTTGTAAGGTGCTACTTACTGTTTTAAGCACCATAACAGGTGCTGCCTAGTTTCATTCCTGCAATGACCCAATGGCAAAGGTACTCATTATTTCTATTTTATAGGCCAAAAAGTATGAAGCAGAGAGAAATTGGGGAACCTGTACAAGGTCATATGGTGAGGAAAGTCAGGATTAAGACCCAGGTGATCTAACTCAGAAGCCATGTCCGTAACATCACTCCCCATGGTGGCCAACGAGTGCTTCTGGGAAAGAGGAGAGATGACATCAGGTACTACGGAGCATACGGTTTGCCAGCGGGAAATCCTCCACGCCTACCCTTATCCTCACGCTTCTCTCTCCATTTTTTTGTTTTGTTTTTGTCTTATTTTATCTCCTAGAGTGTTATTTTATGAGAGCTAGTAAGCAAACTATCACTATTTTGCAAAATTAGATTTTAAAGAATCACTGAGTTGTCCTATCTAATCATATGCCTTTATTTTGCAGATAAGGAGACTGAGAGTCAAGCTAATGGGCCATGAAAAATCACTGGGATCATCAAACTGATGACAACGTATGCTATAGTGGTACCTACGCCTTCCTAATTCTTACAGGTTTTCCTATAAAGTACTCCAGAGGCTTTAGCTGCTTTCGTATGACTCCACTTTCTTCTCTGGCCATACTTATTTCTCTCAAAGAGAACCCGGTTTCCTTCCCCTGCAAGTCTTGGTTCCACCCTTCCATCTGGGCAGTCCTCTGTGCACAAGTGCCAGAGAATCCTCACTCAAGTAAAGGGCTTGACTGCAGGAGACACCCACACTACTTTGTTCCCTAAGATTCTGCTCACTAAATGTCTTTGTGCTTAGAGAAAAATTCCAATCCTTTTGAATCGCTAATCTAAAGCTAATTAGTAGTAACTTGTATGTAGTACCCTCATTACTTATCAACAATGATTACTGTTCTTCATTCTGAGAGCTTTGTTCCCAGCTGAAACGTTAACCACCTGAAGTTACCCAAGTGGCCAAGCTGACAAGCGTGCTATAAAACAGTCCAAATGCCAGCAGAATGTGGAACCCGGAGTCAAGTTTGGAGTTTTCTTTCAAGTCCCCACTTTAACTTTGTGATTCCTCTATGACATACCTAGGACCTAGCACAGTGCCGGGTACGTAGCAGAGGTGCAACATATGTTTGTGGAATAAATACCGCAACCTAACAGTCAGTGCTGCAGCCAGATGGTCCCCGAACGCCTTGTGTCCAGTTTCGTCTGCTGGTCCTCAGAGTTGCTGGCTCAGTGTCAAGGTGTTAAGTGAGTGATTTCATCTCTGTATCAGACTACACGTCTGACTTTTAAAAGCAGCTTTACTGAGGCATAACATAATTGATATCTAATGCATCCATGTTAAGTGTGTAATTTGATGAATTTTGGCAAATGTTAACATCGTGAGCCACCAGCACACTCATGATACAGAACATTTCCATCATCTTTCCAGGCCCCCAGCAGTCAGTCCTCTCCCCCACCCCCAGTCCCAAGCCACCACAGATCTGCTTCCAGTTATTACAGTTTGGCCTTTTCTAGACTTTCATATAAATGGTGTCACACAGAACGTGTCTTTTCCATCTGGCTCTTTCATACGTTGCTGGGAGTCACCCATCCTGCCGTGTGCGTCCACAGGCATGGGTTTGTCTTCTGTCTTGCCTGGGCCTTTGGCTTCGGTGTCCTCCGGACACGTGGCCTGGCTGCTGCCCTGCAGCACCCATGCACTCCCAGAAAGCCGAGTGTTCCTAAATCGTGGGCTTTTCTCTTGTGTGACACAGCATGATTTCCAGCCACCTGCAGGACTTGCCTTTTCCTCACTTGGCTGATGGTCCCCCTTCTCTGCCTACTCACTGCCCTGGTGAGGAACCCGGAGGTTATTTTCCATCTTCCCTCTCCCTTAGACATATTATCTGTGAATTTCATTCCAGGTAAAGAAAAATCTGCCAAATCTGGTGTAAACTACTGTCCTAAAAACAATCTGTCTGGCAGGTCTGAGAACCTTGCACCAGCTGTAATTCTCTGAGACCAACCTGAGGGCAGAGATCCTCTCTCCTTCACCTATGAATATCCTCTGTACTGGCTCCCACCATCCTCAGCCCAGCTTATCACCCCAGCTCCATGATTTCACTGCCATCCAGCTGCTTTGCTCAGCCCAGACTCGTTCCTTTTGCCCATCTGAATGACGGCTGCAGACGCACACTCATCACTGTCCTCATCACTGGGGAGTCTTCCTTGTGCTTTCTTAGAAGAGGTTTATGTGATTGGAATTTCTAACTAGGGAACTTTAAAAATCTATAGTAAAGAAAATCCTTCACTCACGAATGCAGTAAAACCTTACTTATCGGGCCCCATCACTGAACAAGAACTGAAGCCTGCTCACTTCAAGTGCCATTCCTGATGGAAACTTTTCTAAAGAATACTCATTACACACTTCCTTGTTTGGGAAATAGAGTATATTAGACACAATTAAACCTTTTCTTAACTTAGTCTTTCATTTTTTGAATGTATTTTTTAAAAATGGAGATACTGGGGATTGAACCCAGGACCTTGTGCATGCTCTACCATTGCACTCTTCCCCCTGCCCCTGAAGGAATTTTAAAATACTCTATATATTTCTAGAGATGGCTCAGAAGATATCTTCCTCTCTTCCTATTACTTCTCCATCTTTAGAATGCCACTGGGTCAGCTTCTGGTGTTCTCAGTGTCTTTCAATTTTCTGCCTGAGTCTAGACAAACAGTATGAGAGGTTATCTAAGACCCTGAGTAACTAAGAGTGGAAAATTGTTAACACATTTTCCACACATCACCTAAGTGAGGTGGATGGACTTTGTGAGGAATTTTTTTCCCTCTGTGGTGATGAATACCTCTTTTATAAACTTCTAAATTGGATGCGGTAATACAGATGTATGAGTTTTAATTTGTATGAATTTAATTTGGCATTTTATTTCAAGATTAATGGACTACTTGGGCATTCCCTGAAAATTATTTTGTTTTGTCTACATTAGTTATTTTGTCTAAAACAAGTAATACGAATCACAGGTTATAACTCAGTTACAGACCACAAGCAATGAGTATCCATGAGGAGAGTGGCTGGTGGCAGATGGGTCTCAAGTCCCCTGCCAATCAGTCACCATTGGTGGGTGGAGGTTGTCTAGATTGCTGAGCTGAGGACAAGGTGGAGTTCCTATCTGGCCGGGCTCCCTGAGAGAGGCTGCTAAGACTGACTAGCGATGTCTTCCATGGGCGCGGGAGGAAGGCACAGAGACGTGAAAACCGCGTGTCTAACTTTCTGATCTGAAGGTGCCATAGTTGATCATGCAAAGGGATCACGGGAGGCCACAGTTCCAACTGCGCCTGCAGAGCCTGGATCACTTCCTCCAGGCTGGATTTCCGAAACGTGGTCTGCAATTATGACAAGTGGGCCCTTTCGGAATTGTTTGTGCAAGATCTCAGACTGTCAGCTTCGATGATGTGAACCAGACTGCTTCTCTCGGAAACCAGGGACTGGATCATTTCCACAGAGAGAGCTCCCATTTAAGTCAGACTGCTATGTAAGATATCACATAGTAAGAGGAGAGAGGAACACAAAGTTTCTGTGGTTGCCAAGACTACGACCAATTGAAAAAAAAGGAAAAGAGAAACACCGAAAACTTACACCTGGGAAATTGGGATTGTTCTGTGTGGTTAATTTTGTTGAATTTATACTGATCTGACTTTGACCTCTATCTGTGGCTACCACGACCTATGTTATTTTGGCCTTGAGAACTCTAGAATGACCTTCCCTTGTTTTTGGCCAGTCTAAACATCTTCATTCTAGTTGCTTCCCCTTCCATCTCAAGTCTCTCTTTTCCCCTTCACCTCTCTCATTACTATGTGATCCCCAATACCCTCTCTGAAATCCTTTTCCAAGCTCCCTTCCCCATGAATTGATCTGTCTTCAGTCTCTTTCCCAGATTCTCACTTCTTCTATTTGGAAGCTTCCCATTTTTATTTCCACCTTCAGAGCTCACACCCATACTGACCCTGCTCCGATGTTCCTCGTTCTTATCTTTCTGCACCTTCTTTCCAGCTCCTTTGCCTCTTTTGAAATCTGATGTGCACCTGGGGTCTCTCTGCATCTCCCACGCTTTCTTCCTCCCACTTCTTTGCAACTGTGGTAGTTGAGATGCCTCAGTTTCTCTTTTGTCACCTGCTCCCTCCCCCTAACTTCTTTTGGGTCTAGTCCTGCGGGACCCCTCACCCACCAGGCAAAGCTGAACCCCTTCCCCGATACCCACGTATACACTGCTCCATCTCCTCAGGATCTGTGGGGCCTCTTTGCTTCCCAGGCTTCCTCCCACCAGGGCGACTCTCCCTCCAGCCTTCCTGAAAAGCCCAAGGAGCTGCCTTCTGTGTGTTGACACTTTGTTGGCTGGTGGCGCTGGGTTTCCTCCCTTTGCAGTGGCCAAATAACTGCCCACCTCTAGCTTCCGGAAGTTGCCTCTTTCCACTGCAGGCTATAATTGCAACTCAGTCTCAGAAGGACCCGGAAACAACTACATGTATTTAGACAGGGCCAGTCTGAGGAGGGAAGAAGAGCCAGTTTATATTCAGAACACGACCGACATACTGCTAGGAGCTAGACAGTCATAGGATCTGTCAGGTACTGAGTGCCATGCTTTTGCTGGAAAACCAACCAGGCACTCTCGATCCTTCACCATTGCTACTGCTCTCACTCTCATTTCCCCCACAACCCTATTTATTGTCCTGTACCTTACCTTCCACTCCCACTGATGCCACCAGCTCTATTCCTGTCCCATGTGCACTCTGACTTTGCTTCGCTCTTGCTTCCCCTGCCCCCCAGTCTCCATGTGCCCAAACCCTACTTTTTCAAGGTTCAGCCCCCATACTGTCCTTTCCAAAAAATCCTCTCAGATGTCCCACTGCAGAACTATCGGTCTTCTTATCCGTCTGAAACCCTCATGATTTCTACTCATAGTAGAGTTACCTGTGTCCTGCTCCTGAGGGCATCAGCCACAGCGTCCTCCAAACAACGTGCTTTGGTCACTGGATTGGTCCTGCCTCTGCTGTGGCAACTACCTGAGCCTTTGCCCAAGCTGCCCTCTGGACAGTATGGGTCCCAGGTGTTGAAGTGCATTTGCTTGAGTATATGACTCGGAAAATCAGAGAACATTGCTGGGACAGACGCCTCTGCGCATACTGGTGTTCATTCACAAACATGACACCTATACTTCTCACATTCACCAGATACATAGGGTAGAGGCACGGAAGCTGGGTTATGTGAAGAGGACTGGAACTCATCATAAGAAGACAGCAAACATTTATGATTATTATATGCTGGGCACCAAGCTAATGACCCCATGAGGTGGGCACTATTATCCCTAATTTTCAGACAGGTCAGCTGAGGCTTGGAGAAGATAACAGGCTATGCTAATTACTGTTTGCCCCTCCAAATCCAGTTGTCACCCTCTTCACCCTGCTCCATGCACAGGGAGGCCCACCTTTAGGGACTGCACCAGTGGGCTCCTGCCCTCACACTTCCTGTTGGACACCATCACTGGGAGATGCCAGCAGGAGATCCCGGAGATCAGAGCTGGGAGGAGAGAGAGGTCAGAACCTTTATTTCTCTGCTCCCTCCCTGCCTGGCTGCCCATCACTAGTGGCTGCAATTCTCTCCCCAAGGCACAGCTCCGTCAAGCATCCTTTCCTACAGTCACAGGTATCAGGGGCTCCAGAAACCCTCTGTCCACTGCACCTTCAGGCAAGGGATGGACTCAGGTGCTACAGGGACCTTTGCTGGCTTTCCTGAACCCTATGGGTTGAACTGTATCTCCCGCAAAAAAGACATGTTGACTTCCTAACTCCCAGGACTTCAGAATGTGACCTTATTTGGAACAGGGTTACTGCAGATGTCATTAGTTATAAGATAAGGAGTAAGTGCATCCTAATCTAAAATGACCGGTGTCCTTATAAGGAGACAGCCATGTGAAGACAGACACAGGGAGAACAAAGGCAGAGATGAGAGGCAGGCAGCTGCCAGCCAAGGAATGCCGAAGACGGCCCCCACGGAAGCTAGGGAGAGGCGAGGGCAGATTCCCCAGGTTTCTGAGGGAGCATGGCCCTGCCAGCACCTTGACTTCAGACTTCTAGTCTCCAGAACTATCGGATAATAGATTTCTGATGTTTTAAGCCATTCAGTTTGTGTTGCTCTGTTATGGCAGAGCTAAGAAACGAATCCAGCTACCTATACTTAAGAAGCAGTCCCTTCCTGAAATTCTCTTCAATTACTTATTCTGAGTGCGTGCTC